GCTAGGTTGTGCTGCTGAGGTGGAGGTGACAGGAGGAGCGCTTGATGCTGCTGCATCACTGCTGGGTTGTGCTGCTGATGTGGAGGGGACAGGAGGATTTGCAACGGTGGGACTGAGAAACCTCAGCAGCGCATCTGAAGACAGAAGAGGAGTATGTGACACCAGTCTAATAATAAACACATGATTTTAAGAATAAAATAAAATGAAATAATATAAATGAAAAACCTAGAGATACATGCATGATGTAGACTATACTGTATAATATACAATGTACTTTTTCTGATACAAATTATATAAGTAATTCATATATTAGTAACAATTTCAATTTTATTGTCATTACAGTGAAATGCTAATTAGCAGAATGCATTGCAAAGAATGAGTAAACTGCAGTATAATATACCATGTGGGAATGCTAAATTATGCTCTAACATTAATGTTGTGCACTTTAACACTGTTAAGTTTAACATGATAAACGCACTTTAGACAGTATGACCTGTAACACAACAAACAGCTAGGCTTACAACTATGGAAAATGAAGAGCATTTTGATTTACAAGCTGAGAAAATGTCAGATAACCATGTCAATGCAATTAACCTTATAACACCTGCTGAATACATCTAATATTTACACATTTGCCCGAGGAGGAATGATGGGGGTAGCAGGTAAAGTCGGATTATTTGAAAGAGAGGGGAGGCGTCTTAGGAAAGTAGGCTATATTATTATTATTATTATTACTACTACTACTACTACTACTACTTAGTAGGCTTTGCTGCTATGCAGTTAAATTAATGTGGTGGGCTTATTCTTTTCTGAAGTCTAGTTTTAAGAATAGTGAAAGTTACACTTTTTTTCTTCCTCCATTTCTGGCGCCCTTAGCATTTGCCTATACTGCCTATGCCACGGGCCGGCCCTGCCCTGACCTCCCACCCGATGAAGACCATGGAGAGGATTGGCCTCGGCCACCTCCGTGCCCAAGTGAGCTCAGCACTGGACCCGCTGCAGTTTGCATATCGACCTGGCATCGGGGTAGACGACGCTATTATCTACATGCTGCATCAAGCCCTATCTCACCTCGAGTCCCCCAGAAGTATTGTGAGGGTCATGTACTTTGACTTCCCCAGTGCTTTCAACACAATCCAGCCGTCACTGCTGAGAGGGAAGTTGGAGGGGGCAGGTGTGGACCAACACCTGTCTGCACGGACCATTAACTACCTCACAAACAGACCTCAGTTCGTAAGGCTGCGGGACTGTGTGTCGGATGTAGTAGTCAGCAGCACAGGGACACCCCAGGGGATGGTGCTTTCCCCCTTTCTGTTCACCCTCTACACGTCAGACTTCAAGTACAACTCCCACCACTGTCATCTACAAAGAGGAAAATCGACTGGTCCTGAACACCAGTAAGACTAAAGAGATGGTGATTATGGTGTTATGTTGGTTGTTCTTTATTGCTGCTGTAACACAGAAATTTCCCAACTGTGGGATCAATAAAGTACCTACTCTACTCTACTCGGTACTCAAGTGTTTAAAGTAAACTTTAGTTACCTGAGTGTCAAATGACAAAAGCGGGACCATCACATTTTCTTCAGCTTAGACAAGGCTATTCCTTTTATTTTCAGCTTCTCATGCAAAGAAAGGTATACCTGGTTTTATTTCTATAAGGGTTGGTTAACTCCATTAACACTGAACCCACCAGGAGAAATGTTAGTCTTAAAACTTTGACTCTTCTTTTGTCCGTATTATTTTATTTTTACTGTATATGAGACCACTACTGACACAAACCAATGGTCCATGTCAAAATAGTCAGAAATGCACCCATGCACACAAAGTTCTCTCTCTATGAACACAATTACTAAATATCATGATGACACAGTTATTGTAGACGGGAACACCACGCATACACCCTTACAACATACTGCTGTGTTGCTGGTAATAAACTCTAGGAAGTCCCACACTACATCCCCCTGACTGCTTCACTTTTCAGGCTCTTTTTCCTAGAAAATACAGGAAATGAAACTAGCCGGTCACCAATGAAACTCAGATAAAACACTACTTATACCACAATTTTACTATTACAATAGAAACTCCTGTTAGGAAGTCTAGTGCTGTTACCTGACGGTAACAGTGCAGAGTTCAAAATGATGGACAGGGGCATCACCGTTGCTGACTGACATTAAGTTTCATTGCAGGTGTTAGGTTGAATCACCTGTTTTAACATTTGTGTCATTTTTGGAGTTGAGTTTAATAAAATAATATTCGTTGGAACAACTGCTCTGAAGTCAGAAATGTCATTTGAGGTTGAAGTCTCTAAAGCGCTAAAACCTCTAAAGCTATTTTTTTTTTCTCAGACAAGATTTGTAGATTTTAAAACCATATTTTTTCGTACTTTTCTCAAAACAAAACAAAAAAAGTGTGATGTATTTACAGGCACATCGAACATGAAACCACAAAACATGATTTTATCTCCATCACTGTCGTCCCATGGCAGTGAGGCACACTTTCAATACACACAATTTATAGCAAAGTTACTGTAAGCATGGCTTGCTTTTTACAGTAATTCTTTCTCAGCCTCTCCCTTTGTTTCTGTCTCTTAACCACTTTCTTTTTCTTGTCGCTATGCAATGACTTCTCATTCTATAATATTTCCTCTTGTGATCTCTTCTGCGTGGGGAGAACCCCCACACATCGAACACCTTCGCACTACTGACCAAATAAAAACACCTCAAACCAGTGTGCAGTCACACTGCAGTGGTGACAGGAAATCCTTTTGTGTGGCAAGCTGCCAGCTACTGAACTACAGTACATGTTTGTCCTGTGGCAGATGAAGCAGACTTTAGAGTTAGAGTTGGAGGAAAAAACAAAATAGCTGTGGAGTGTTCTGCTAAAGAGAAGACAATAGACAAGCTTAAAAACATAACACATCTAATATAATCATTGCCCTTATCACAGATACAGCAAATAACTAGTCCAGTCCAGCTAAAAACAGCCCCATTTATAGCTACTCCATAAATTTTGAGAAATAATGTGTACAGTAGCTACACAGTAAAAACATACAGAGCCCTGAAACGAGTTGCATCGACTATTCATAAATCGATTTTTATATTTTTGTGTATAGAGTCCTTTCTTCATTCTTAGTAGTGGCTAGTTTTAAAGTAGTGAGATCAAAACATCTATGTCTTCGCTAGTTTAACTAGCCTAATGTGTAAATTGATTGCTAAGGAACACATGTAGTTCTGTCCAGTCAAAAACATCAACTGTATATAAACAGAAACTACATCACAAACTGAAACATAACTTTAAAAAAATAGTTTTAGTTGACACTATGGTATAATTGACAACTGCCTATAGGCTAATTTGTAAGTGTAGGTCTAACGTGGAGAAGTGCAAGTTCTGTTCAAGCAGAATAGAGTGAGTGGGAAATATCTATGCTAACTTAAGTGGTGGTGTTTGGTCATTTAGCATAATTGTGTAATCTCTTATTTTTGTGAATTGCTACTTAAATATTAGTTACATTGTTAGTAAACACAGTTTTAGTCAAGTGTCAGGGCCGGCATGCTGAGTATACATCTTTTACTCCTCACTATAAACCCGGGTTATATTGACCATTATATAAACCAACGTTAGCACTGGCAGCTGGTTCATTTACCTAGCACTTTCCTGGCAGATACTTAGCAGCAGCAAATATCTTTGCTAATTTGTGGTGCAGCCTGTTTTAAATTAGTATGTGTAAATTCCTTCATAGTAAAATGTTTGAGTAAGTTTGAACTTGTGACAACTGGTGAAACTGGCTCCTGCCCTTTACACACTAATTCCATCAGCCTGTCCAACCTGTTGCACCCTGTGAGTCATACAGGTTGACAAAATGTGGAATTTAATAAAATACTCTTAACCTTTATTCATATAGAGCCGAATGACAACAGTACTGTAGCCATCTCCATACTAGGCTACACAATCATAGTCAAAGTCAGTGGTGCACAGATTCAGGCATGTGTACAAAATAGACTGGCTTCACCCACATTCAAATCTAGAAAAAAGACAGCTGTAAATCAGTGTCTTTTTGACATCAAGGTTGCCATTAAAGAACCAAAGAACAAAACACTGGACAAGGGAGGCAACGTGTTGACTGGTACAGTAGCATGGCTGAGCGCAGTAGAGCACAGTGGAGCAGGGAGAGGGAGTGCTGGATGGAGCAGAGTGGATTGATTTGGAGTTTCATGCTAGTGCTACCTTAAGTTACATACTGTAGCTGCAACCCCTGATATCTCTTGGCATTTATTCTTTGAAAACCAGATGCTCTGTACTGTAGATCCATCCTCTGCTGACCAGCTGGACAGCAGATTCAATTCATGCAGCCCATAAAAATCGCAACAGGAAATTCTTTAACTTGCCACATAGACGAGCTGACAAAACGAAAGAAACACACCACAAAAACAAAACATGCTGGTGTTAGGTTGCAGCATGCCTCAGAAGTCATTCCAGTGAAAACCATCATGTAAAAATGTCTCTCAAGTTAAGTAGTCATAGTTAGGTCAGTGGAAAGGTGATGTGTTTTTACATGCACCATGTAGTAACATTACTGTTCATCTAGGTTTTCTTCAGTACACAATAAGTACACAATCAGCGAAATTTTCCAGAGATGTTACACTGTTTCAGATTACATCATGCATCTGACTTGCACGTAACCCTAGAAAGCTTTTTCTCTACTCCTTGAGCCATTGGTTTATAGTATAATGACAATTGGAGTCATTTTCAATTTCTTTCAATATTCCAAATCACAATAAGTTTTAGGGGCACGACAGACATAATTTCAACCCTTACACTTGCAGAAAACTGCTACTATTCTTCTCTCATCAAGTCATACCCTGTGAGTACACCTTTTCAGCTACAACCCAATCTGTAGTGCTTTTACTTTGCTTCCTAAAAGCTACCACTGTGCACCATAGAAACTGAACCCTGACCCCTTGCATTTTGCTGTTGACCTATAATGCACTGACATTATGGAATGTGACTTCATGTGCAACTTGCTTGAACATTTCAGGGAACATTGTGTAGGAGTGGTTTGCCATTAAAATGACTGAATTACACTTTCGAGCAAAGTGCAGTTCTGTAATTCCAGGCAGTTTGGTGTGTCATTACC